CGTCGTGCCACTTCGTGCTATCTCCCAAGACGGATGATTTCGGTAGTTCCAGAGGAATCGTCACGTTATCTACATATCAAACGTATTCGATTACGCTTGTTCGACTATTCCCGAGCATTATCGCGCAAGGTGAGTCACGTCTGCCGCCGCGGCTGCCAAGGTAAAAACGTTTCCCCGAAGCGCGCGACGATTTCTCAGCGAAAATTCAAAGCCTATCTAGAAATTCTCATTGTTGATAATAGATAATCGCGCGCGCGCGCGTTCGGAGCACGTGCCGCGATAGTGGTGCGCGACGCACATGTGCGTTCTTCGAGCAGTGCGTGCGCAAATGGCATGCACTGCTACGCCTAATCTTTCACGCGACGGGGAGAGACGTGTGAGAGGTCGCGCACACAGGGATACCGAGAGAGAAAGAGAGAGAGAGAAGATCCGAGCGTACGATACGAGAGAAATCGGAGATAGAAACGCAGAACGAGAGAGAGAGAGAGAGAGAGAAAGAGGACGAAAGAAAAAAAAACAGAAGAGTAGAATCAGCGCGGCGAACATCTGCGTGTCGCTCGGACACATTGAGCGGCTAATAAATCGCCACTTATCGATCGCCGCTTGTCGTTACGCAATAAGATGCATTAGCATAAGACCGCTGAGAAATCTATCCACTGGTGCACACACTTTTTTCCTCGCGTCTTCGCCGGCTCGCTGGCTGCCTTCATCGCAATCCCTTCCCCTTCGACGCGAGTCTCCTACTTGTCAATTTTTTTTTGCCACAACGCACACACAGTTACGACATTGCGATAAAAGACACTACAAATGACTCACGCGCGAATCGCGAACAACGAACATCTAAATCTAAAATATATATTAATCATAATTTTTTTTGCAAAGCGCACAGACTTTTCGCGCGCGACTGTGTGCGTTATATAATTTTTCTAAAAGTAATCTGAACGAGACCGCGCGATTATTTACAATAATGTTTTTTTGAAACAACATTTAAGTTTCTGCGTGTGTCGATTCTGAGTTTACGTTGTTATTATATATGTATATATAGAGACGTCTCTTCTGATATTTATATCACTCTCCTACGTGTTACAAAAGTTTTTTTAAAGGCGTATAATTCAATCCGAATGCTGACACCGCGCGAAGAAGAAAAGTGCGGCGCATCGTCCACGTAAGTAGCGTGCAGGGCCAAAGTGCGAGACGCAATTACGGCGTACGGTATACGTATATATATATATATACGTATGCCGTCTTTATCGCGTCTCGTGAATCATCTCGATCGTTATTGTCTTTCGACGTATACGCGCTATCTGGGTTTTCAGGTCCCTCCTCCGTCGTCTTGTGTTTTTTTTTCTCTCTGTCGGTTCATCTCCGGTTTCTCCTCGCTATCTTTTCTTTACGTGAGCGATATATGCTACTACGCGCGTGCACGCGCGCTATTTCATCGATAAGAGTCTCACTCTCTCGAGTGACTGCACTTGTGCATGCATATGAGCAAGTTGCGCGTTTGCAAAAGTAACAAGAAAGTTACGCAGGAAGAAAGAATCCCGGCTCGGGATCGAGATATATATGTTTGTGCGAAATTAAGTCAAAAAAAAAAAAAAAAAAAAATGCCTGAATATTCTCTCTCTCTCTCTCTCTCTCTCTCTCTCTCTCTCTCTTTCTCGCTACATAATAAACAGCGAGTAACTGTAAAACCTGTATTTAATTCGATTTGTTTTTTTGTGATACTTTTATAAAGTAATATCGCGAGGTTGAATCATTAAACTCGCGTCAATTTGTTTACTCGCAGGAAAATTTCTTAATATAAATATGTATATTTTACAACATCGCGCGGCGAACGTTTATTACGTTGCGCTATCAATATGCAACTCTGTAATTGATGCTTATCGAGACATTAGCGCGCGGATCAAAAATAAATTTTATTTTCCAACTGATAAGACCGTACGTTTCGGTCTTCAACATCTGCGATACCGTCGAGCGCACGTCGCACCGAGAACACAGGCCTATCATTGTTCGCCGCTCTGGTATCGAAAATTATCGAGAACTGTCAAAACATATCTCGGCTCTCACGTGTATTATATCTTTTTCGAAGACGAGCGAATGGGGCAGCTGTGTCGTGTGACACTCCGAATATACGCGGACTAGACTCGAAGAGGGAGAAGAGGGATCGCGTTGCAGCGTCGAAAATTGCGCGTATAAATCACGTCAATCACGACGTCGTTTGAAACGTTAGTCTGTAGCAAAAAAAAAAAAAATATACATCGCTTCTATCAAGCAATATCGCTTCTATCAAACATTTTTCAAGTCACGTGACTTTAGTCTTCTTTTTTTCTCCTCCTACATTTTTCCACTCCTCCCTTTTTCTATTTTTCGAGTGTGATTTTCATGCGTTATTTCGGACACCTCTCACATATATGTAGTATTTGTGCGGCAGTCTGATGTGTAATACCTATTTAGTAGTTTTTTTTTTTTTGAGTTAAACACACACAAGGTTTTAAACCATTACTTTAGACTACAAATGAAATCCTTGAAGTAAGAAAAACAAAGTTTTTTTTTCATTATAAGTATATAATGGTGACACTCGAGTAGTACTTATATGCGTTTAATACGATGTTAATTAGATTATTTTTAGTAGTCGAAGATTGTCGTTTGTGAAACTCGCTTTCCTTCTTTAACTCACTTCTCGTCTTTCTTTCTTTTTTCTTCTTTCAACGCGCTCGTCACATCAGAGCCTTCCATTCGCGCACGGCGTGCGATTTGCGCGATTTCTACGCAGTCACGTGATCAGTTGGAAGGCTCCGGTCGTACATGTATGTCATATGTTAGCAAGCATACAAACATGCACACATTTTAATTGCACGACGACGATAATAATAATAACGTTTCTGAAAAACGTGAATTTCTCACTTCAAAACTTTATTGCGTATCTCCAAATCAAAAGAATAAACAAAAAAAAACAGAATACTTTTTTTTAGTGGTTTGTTCTGAAACGATTGAGACTAAAACGAAATTGATCGGTCGTTCTTGAGATATTGCTTAATGTAAAATCTCCTCACTTCTCAATCGCATGAATTTCGCGTTTAAGAGAGCCACGAGTGCCTCGCGCCTCGTTCGAGCGCGACTTCCGTTGTGAACTTTTGTCGCGAGGCACTACCTACGGTGCCTCTTAATTCGTACAACATAAATCGAGAAACACATCCTCGTGAAACGTTCAATCAGCGTCGAGATAAAAATGGCATTTTCTGATAGGACATGTACTTGACTGACTTCATTTTGTTATTTTGAAAAATTGTGTTGTGAAAATTTAATTATTAAAAAAATTATTCAACACTTTCTCAGCTCTTATTTTCTTTCCGTATTTCTCCGTTATCAAAGAGAGAACGCTTCGCTTATACCGCTATAACGCAATTAACTTTATCAATTAGTGCGTGCGATTATAAAATCTCACGAACGAACGGCAATCGCTGTCCTTCTTTCTCATTCTCTCTCGGCTCGACGATTAAGGCGGTTAAGTGTCGCGTAAGCGGATCGCGAACCTCATACAAACAGGGAAGTCGAGCCTGGTTGAGGTCGAGACTGTGGGAAAACACGCGACGGATTTCGAGATATTTCGCATTTTTTACACCTTACACGCGGCGAGACGCGCGTTTATTTCGCGCGCTAATGACGGAACTCACGTCAGGCTAATCTTCTAGTACGGTTCAGCCAAGGCCGCGGCTCTGACTCAGAGCCCGAACAGCTGTTTGTCATAAAGAGTGCGGGAGAGATATTCGAGTCCTGCCTTAGATAGCGACTTCCTGCTGACCTCGCTGCAATACAGCGTGTGTGCAATTAGCGGCTCCAGGCGATAAACTACAGGCGACGCGCGTTTTTCGATTTTGCGTAATTATCATATCAGCGAACACTAAATCCTTCCTCTACGCCGCGACTGTTTCGCGATAGAACGACACGTACGTGAGCTGCACACGTTATCGAAATTATTTTAAAATACGTAAAAAAAAAAATACATAAACAAAAAAAAAAGGATCACGCAGTTACATAAACCGATTACACGCGTGTCTAATAAACACGAGTAAAACAAATAAGCCAAAATTAGACGAAACAGCACGAAAACATAAGAGAGAAAAAGAATGATTATACAATATATATATATCTCCGAATTTCATAATTACTTCAAAATGAGCACGTGCTTAATTGTTTTGCAGCTGATTATTACATTATTAGGAACATTATTATTGCATTGAAATGCACATGTTAATTGCTCGGTATTTGTAAACCGACGAAAGTACAAATATTAGTTCGAACAACACACGCGTTTCCGCATGATATCCGAATATATTATGCCGCATGTACGTATGTGTATGCTAAGTATCTGCCAATTCGCGACGGTTAATGAGGGCAGAATTTAAATTGCGCGTTAACATCGAAAGCGCGCGGTATTAATTTCCCTTCGCACACGTGTTTCGCGGTTTTGGAAGTTTGTGGCAAAACGGGTGTGTGTTATTCCATTTAAATAAACTTGGAAATAATGCCAAACGATCGTTACACGCTGCTGTCAATAATTTTTTTCTCCTTTTTACTAGAATCTCTCTCTCTCTCTCTCTCTCTCTCTCTAGTAATAAATGATGCTTTCTCTCTCTCTCTCTCTCTCTCTCTCTCTCTTTCTCTCTCTCTTAATATTGTTTTATAATACACAATATAAGTTGTAATATGCGTTATTTTGTAAAATCACTTCTTTGATTTCTCTCTATCTCTCTTTTTTTCTCTCTTTCTCTGTGTTTCTGCAAAGTCAATTATTCAAAGACATGAAATTTGTTCCAAGCAAAATCCAATATGCGCTTTGATTCCCGCGCGATATAACCGTGGAAAAAAACAAAACAAAAAAAAAAGCAATTGCGCAACAAGATCCGATCGACCGACGCGACGTTCCGCGAGAACGGAAAGGAGAGAAGATGAACGCGAGAGGAAGACGACTCTTCTGGTCGCAATCGAGATCTCGCAATTTTACAGCCGTGAAAATGTTCGAGTCACGCGAACCGCGTATACGCGTACGTATCGTTTCGCATCTCGTCCGGTTCTCGCGGTGAGAGAGAACGCGTCTTGAATATCCCCGTTTGCGCGCACGCGAAATCCAAAAAACCGAGGGAGAGGGTTGACGTGTCTTCTTCAGATATTCTCTCGCTCTCTCTTTCTCTTTCTCTCACTCTCTCCCTGACTGACGGCCCGGTTAAAACGTGCGAAATGACACGCACGAACAACGCGACGGAGAGCTGCGCGATCGCGAAGAAGTCCTTGGTGCGCGTCGGCAAGTATCAGATGCTCGGGCCCCTCGGCAAGGGGAACTTCGCGCGCGTCGAAGAGGCCATCCACACCGTCCTCGGAGTCAAGGTGAGTGTGATAAACTCGAATCGCCGCCGGGAACAAGCGTCGGAGAGCCTCGTATAACCTCGCGCTCGCGCGTAACTCCATCGGCGACCGGCACGAAAACGGAGAACGCGCACCTCCGCTCCGCGAGAGAGAAGCGAGCAGCGAAAGCTGCTCCCTTCGCGAGAGAGGCCCCGACATAAATCTTTCATCCCGACGCGGGACGTAACGCGATCGTGAGAACGCGCGCATCGAGAGAGGATGTTCAACCCCGTGTCGGATGGAGGATTGATTCCGATCGTCTTTAATCGATTTCTGGCGCGGATGGAGGCGCGGCTATTATTACGTTCGTGATCGGCTTAACGTTTTAATCTTCAATTTAATTTTTTAATTATTTTTTTTTTTTTTTTTTATCTTAAGATTTACTTATAATTATTTATTCTAACGTGTTGCGATCACGCACAAAATGTTTCACGAATGCGAATTTAAATTGCAAATTACGCACGAACTCAGTAAATTTATCTTTGTATACTCGTTTCGAGCGATAATCTTCTCAAATGACCGCAGTCATGTTAATAGCGCGTAAATTGGAAAAAAAAAAAAATTATTCGCCGCAAAGAGTGTGTGTCGACATTGTATAAACTCTCTTTCTCTCTCTCTCTCTCTCTCTCGTCGTTACCATCCAATATATTTCAGTGAATAATAATCCTGTGTACACTGTTATGTAACACAATACGTGTTTGTGTGTGGCGGTTGCTCCGTTTTTACTTGTATCGAGGAGGAATTGTTTCTGGCTTACGTCAGACTATCCAGACCGGGTCCGCCTTTTCGTCGAATTAATCACGCCGCGGTGCGCATCAGATGTATTTCCGGCGCGCGGACATTGAATCACTCGTCTGGAATCTCATGCACCTAGAATCTCACATAAATAAAAAAGATAGGAACCTATCTATCCGAAAAAAAGTTGAAGTCGAACAAAATATCGCGCGTTTTCAGAGTGAACAAAAACTCTCGGAACTACTACACAGTTGCGGCTTTATTCGATCACGAAACTCGGTGTGTTATTTTCTCAACATGAAAATGACACAGGGATAAGCATGTGACATCGTCCGCCAGACAGACGATGAAAGACGATCGTCAGAGATTTACAAACGTTTCCTCTTCTTTGTATCATCCTAAAATTCCCCAGCAGGGTCTCGTTCTCTATCTCGTTTCCTCTGTTTTTTTTTGTATGTGCGTGTGAGTGTGTGGGGAGGGAAGGAGAGAAACCTTTTCTATTAAAATATTCCTCCAACGAGGAGATTATCTGATCGATCGATCGATCGATCGACGATCTCGGAATCTGAGATAGGTCCGACCGTCGGTTGGGCTTGGGAATCCTACCACGCTTCTAATTTATTCCCATATTTAATTCTAATTTGTATAATTTTTGTTTTCGCTGGCTTAAAAATTAGGTATAGCTCGTTCTTTAAATAAATAAGAGTGCTAAATAAAACGGAGCGAGAGAGAATCAATTTCTGATAAGAAACGCTTATTTACGTCAATTCTCATGATAATCGCGGTCTCAACGTCTCAAATTGGAGTCAACGACTGATAAATAAAGATGTCGTCGTATCTAAATGCTCGTGAAAAAAAAAATGTCTTAATTTTAAGTGTTATTTAGAGAGTCTGCGTCTTACGCCGCAAGAGTATCACATTTTGTAATTAATCAAGCTGAGAAAATAAACGTTCACGTAATTCTGTAAAATGTTTTGACATCTCTCTCTCTCTCTCTCTCTCTCTCTCTCAATAATTATATAACGCTTTTTGAGGAATACAGAAAAATAATGTTCTGTGAACACAACTTCTGATTTTTATTCCTGATACTCGTGTTGCCGCTTTTTGATTAATACAAAACGTACGTATATATCTCCCGGAGACATATTTCATTTTTTTTTTTTTTTTTCACGAAAAGCGACGCGAAAAGCTCGGTCGGAAGCAGTGGGAGAGATAACGTCCGAGCATCCTTTACCGCGAAGTACAAGACGAACGGGGTGATTAAAGGAGGCCGCGGGAACACCGCCGCGGTTAACGCTGCTGGTGGAAATGCGCGCGGCGCGGGGAACGTTCGTGGAACGATAGACACCGATCGCTACGGGGAAATCGTTTGCGGTTATCTTGCCGAGAAGCCGATAACACACCGCCTTCGTGTGGTTTCTCTCCTCTCTCTATCTCTCTTTCTTTTTCTCTCCCGTGTCACGCCGGGTGTACACCGCGAGAGAAGCCAGCCGCGCTGACGACGTTTTACGAGGCGCGTAAAAAAAGCACACGCTTCCAATCGCGAGACGGCGTTTAACGAGGTTCGCCGAGACTCCTCGAGGTCCATCTTCCCGCTGATGACGTGGCCGACGCACATCGCGTGCGCCGTGTGTTCCGATCGAAACGATACTGCGTATATCCGGATACGAGCTCAATCAATTTTGCAGCCACAAATGTCTTGACGTACACACACACACACATGTGTATATACATTTATATAGGTACGCTATGAACATATCCACGACGCGGGGAGCGCGTTCTTCAAGAAATATATAGTGTGAGAGAATATCTCCTTTGAAAATAAAGATGTTTCTCCAAAAGATATCTCGTGAGGAGATATTTTTGCGAATATTTCGCAGAGATACGCGTTGCTAATATTTACGCGAACGTCAAGTTTTTAGAATGTTCAAGTGCATTTTTACACCGCACCGCATCAACAGTACACCCAAGATATAGAAGATATACCACCACGTAAATCAGTTGTGTATAAAAACTTAATATATTTTTAACAGTGTTTTCTTTTGGGATTATTTGAAAACTAAAAGGATTAAATATTCATTAAATCGAAACGAACGCGGATCTCGGCGAATTAATTTTCATGTTCTTCCCCTCCTACCTCAACCCCCCCCCCCCGCACGCCGATCGAATTTTTATTTCGCGATAATGCGTATCAATTTCTCAGTATCAAACGTATACTACGCGACGATAATAATAAACGTTAACGCGTATCAATTTGCGCGTCTCGGGCATCGATGAGAAACGGAATTAATTGATTTATCGATTCGGTCGTGACCGATAATAGAATGCGGTTCGCATAAAGCCGCACAGGCGATTAGCGTGCGGAATAGCGTTATCGCTCGTTTTCTGCGCTCGTGTCGCGTTTTATGCGGAGATAGCGATTTCTTTGTGCAATTTAATCGGAGGGGATGAGAGAGAGAGAGAGAGAGAGAGAGTGACGTCGCGATGACGGTTCTCTTCTGAATATTGCGTAACAGAACGCATTTTTGCGATCGGACGACTCTCGATCGACCCGTCGCCGTCGTCGGTTTCCTCGCCTACGCGAAGTGAAAATCAACGAGGGTGGGGAAAGAAACATGCATTATTTTTTCACGCGCGGCCCGCTATCGCCGTCCATTCGATACGCGTGCGTTTGCGCGACCACGCAAAGTACGTGCCAATTTGTCGCGCGCTCGTCTACGCAGTTCAAATAGTTTATCGCGCTGAAAAAAAAAAAAATAAACAGTGCGATTACGCACTCGTTTGCGAATACAAAGGAACGCGGTTATCGCAGATCGAAGCCGGAGGTTTCGATTACTCCCGCGCGCTCTTTCTTGTCCGCGCGCGCGCGCGCACGCACGCATCCACACACGCTCTTCTCTTATCGCATTTTTGCTTGTATATCCATTTTTTTTTCCGCTACGCGGGTCACTATCTGTGTGCCGTTCTATTCTATTCTCTCAAAATGCTATAAATTATCTCTTTATTAATAAATATTGCTCTTCCCTCTCTTTTGACGTCGCTTGATTGATTAAATTTTTCTCTTCTCGCTCTATCTCGCGAAGATACACGATAAAGAGAAGGAGAACGGACTAAAATTAGTTCTTACATGTATCTTTCGATATGAAAACGCACAACACAGATTTGATGCAATATTTATGTTCTCCAGATGCAAAAACAACATAACAGAAATTTAAAACACGACACTCTTCCCCCTGATCGCGCGTGGGGGATCACGAGTCACATTTGTCACAAAAGACGTACGTGTATATATTTTACAACTGCAATTTCGATCCGCTTCGATGCGGAAACCGCGAGTTCTCGTCCGGATTAATCTGGTTTTCTCGTAATAGCTCAATTTGCAACGGTCAGTCGCGCGATACAGCAGCCCCATCCCGACAACGTAGGGGTGAGAATGCGCGCCATTTGCGTCGAGTCACTCGCGCAAGGTGTTTCTTCGCGCCTTTCTCGATCTATATAAGGGGATACGGAGTCTCGCGACTCGCGTCACGTCAGCCCGTCGACTTTGAAATTCCATATACGAGCAGAGCACGGGTACAATACCGGGTACACCCTTCCGAGATTCCCCGGATATCTTTTTGCCATCGTGCGTTAAAACATCTTCGTGTTTTACTCTCTCCGGGAAAGCTGATAGATCAGGTTCTTCTCCCCGGTGGCGCTTGACGCGGAATCTCCGTCTCGCCCTTTTAGTTACGCTGTGCTTTTACACGAGCGTCTCTCTCTCTCTCTCTCTCTCTCTCTCTCTCTCTCTCGCTCTCTTTCTCTCGAGCGCGCAAAAATGTCAGAAGATTTTATACGTTTTTTTTTTTTTTTTTTTGTTTTAAGGTTTTGACTCCCTAAACATTTTAAAACGCGAACACACCGCTTTTATTTGATCAATATTTCAGCAGTTTACAAATCCAAATTGAATGGAGCGGTAAATAAAATCTCCATACGGCGTATACGTTAATAAAATAACACGTTTTATAAAACATAGTATATCGCCGCCATTCCATTCGCAAATAGAATATTCATAAGCGAAACGAAATCGCTCTCTCGACGTTCCGACCATAGAATTAAAATTGAATCCGCGTTGAGGCCGCGCGAGGGCGTCAATCGCCAGCACTGGTCTACGGCGACCTGGTTCGCGTTGAATAACAGTAACGCGGAAGCCACGCGAGAGGCACGAATCGGATCTCTCTCGCCTATCATCACCGAACACTCATCCC